GGGACAATAAAGGCTGTTTCTATTCTATTCTATTCTATTAAATGAACGATTGTCAGTTTTTAAAACAAATAAACCTGGTTTTYAGAATCTCCTGATGAATCAGACGTCATCCCAGAAACACCTGCAGCTGCTGCCTGCCTTTGAGAGGACTCAGACGACTTCCTTAAAGAAAACGACAAAAAAAAGGAACATTTGTCCCACATTCTTATCAATAACTGCTTTACAAGYGGTTTTATTACCAGCAACATTACAGGGATAGTTTGAATGTTTTTATGTGAAGTAAAAAGTAGTACTGCCGTCAGCATTTTGGAGGTTTTAGTTCATAGAAAGACGCTTTGGACTTCTTTCTACCRCAGGTAAGATACTGACTGCTCCAAACAATTCCACTTACAAAAACACCAAACCATAACAACAGCCTAAACTTTTAGGAARACTTACAGTGGATTAGGTGCTCTGTTGTCAAACTCTGCTGCCGAGGACTTCTGCAGTGAGTAAAATAAGTGACTTTATTTCAGAGACAACAATCTAGATTTGTTGATTTAAAATATTAAAAATGGATCCAGGACACAAATTATAAAAAAAAGGGAAAGAATATTTTATCAAAACAGTTTGGAAAATAAAATAAAACCAAAAGCAAATGGAATCAGTAAAATTCAAATATCAGCTGATGGATGTGGACCTGCTGCACAAATCTTTATTCAGTTAATGACTGAACAAACCTGGCTCCTGGGGGGGTTTGATGAATCAGCAAAAATGATGAAGTCACTTGAGCTGGCTTGGACGCTCTTTGACGCTGGCTCAGCTGAGTCCCTGGGAAATGAAAAGGACACAGAACAGAATGCAAGTCTTGTTTAGCAGTTAGCTTTCGGCTGTTGTTCTACTGAACTACATGTCTGTGCTCACAGTGTAGATGACAGTGCTGACGAGGACGCCGCCTCCTTGTCTTCAGACACCGCTGATCTAATAGACACCTGAAACGCAACACGAAGCATCTGATTTAGATTTTATCAGAGTGGAAACAAGTTTTAGCTTTTTTTGATCACCGAGACATCAGAGCTCGTACCTTACTGTCGTAGTCCGATTGCTCCCGAAGAGCCGACCAGGCCAGTCTTGCAGCATTTTCTTTGGCTTCTTTGACATTTTTCCCTTCACCGACAGGATATTCCTTCTTGTCTATTATTAATTTGTAGGAAAAGCTGTTTAAAAAAATAGATAGGATTTATAATTAGGCAATAACATACCGGTGAAGCAGGGGCGGACCTAGACTTTTTCACAAACGGTGGCCAATATGTTTTTTTTTATTGGACACATAAAAAATAAAAGAATCTGGATTTGAAAATTCAAGATGGTCGCCACAGCTACTATAATTAATTTGACTGTTTTAAGAAATATTGGGCTGAAATATTGTGTGGTCATAGCAAAAGATCATCGAAAAAAGAGGCTGAATGCTAGTCACAACTTATCATTCAGCCATRTTTAGACATACAAAGCTGAATATTAGTGCAGAAGTAGCCAAAAACAATCTTTAACTAAACAGAAATTCAAGATGGCCACCACAGCTAAATTTAAAAGGCTTATAATAATTCAGCCATTTTAAGACTTATTGTGATGGAACTTGTTGTGGAGTAGCTAAGAATGGTCACATGCCAATCACCAATGCTAATTAAAATAAGCTAACTACTAATGCTAACTGATGCCAATTTTACAAAGGTCTAAAATTCAGCTATTTTTAAACGTGCACACCTAAAAATATATWGTRCTTACAGTACTAATKATAGTATCACRRAATAATCTTTAGCAAAATCTAAATGCAAATACAAAATTTAAGATCCCCTTTGGGGGTGGTACCTGGGGTGGCCAATCAAGTGCCTGGGGTGGCACTTGCCACCCCTGGCCACCCCTCTGGCTCCACCCCTGGAGTGATGAATTTCTGTTTAGAGTCACTGCTGTAAATCAAAACTACTTACCGGGGATTATGATCGGGACCAGTTCTCCCTTCTTCTATATATGAAGGACAGCGCTTTGTCTTCTGGCAATARTTATTGACGATTGCAACAAATTTTGCATCTGCTGCACTGCTGTCCTCAGAGTTTATGCTCAGGCTTGTTGTCTTTGCACTGTGACAAACAAACAATGTTTCACCCGAGAAAAGACATAAACAAAGATATGTGCTGGTTTAATGATATACTCACCAAATATCTGCATCATTTTTATTCGTGTCCTCATTACGGTGACCTGACGCTGATGCAATCTGGAAAAAGAAAAGTTTTTTAAGACGGTTAACAGACAAGATGTTAGACTGATGGGGATGTTTTACATCTATCAAGCCAGGAGCAGGGGGCTGTACTACAAAGAAATAACTAACAAACCAACATTAGGTGGTTTCTGTTGMAAATGTGCGCAAAACCTTGTCGRTATTCTGTTAATGTMGAAAAAACATAGTTTTGCAATTGCGGTGTTTYCATTAAGTAAAMAATGTTATTAAAGTCATGTGTGAATACATTTGTTCACGCAAAGTCATTACAAACATGGCAGCAACGGATGTAAACACTTTCATATTGCTAYCACAACACTAGCGCTCATCATCAGCCATCAGAGGAGACGTCGGCGTCTTATCGAGGCTTTCGAGAGACAAGCCTCTTATACTTGGGAGCGGCTATGTCTGCGGCGTTTTTGGGAAATTTTAGTCGGTGATTAAASTACTTTYTTTTACTACTTCTGTGATTTTATTTCTACTTCTGCTTCCTTTTGTCTTCTTCTTCGTCGACAAATGTAAGTTTTTTTCAAAATTTACTTTTTTCGATTAAGCAAATTAATTTTCGAAATTCTAATTTGCGCATTTTTATGGTCAATGGAAACGCAGCAATAGACARGTTCGTGTCTGTAGGACGTGTGACACAGACTGACTGACCATCGTCCTCACAGTCAGCCATTGCTGTTAGTTTCCACTTAGCAAAGCTTTATTTTTGTTTAGCGGATTATGAGATATCGAAGCTAACATTTTGGTTAGCTGTGCCCATCTTTATATAGATTAGGGTAGATAGTTTAGGATAAGGTTGGCTAGGCTAAAATAGACTACAATACAATGGGCTATGCTACGATAGGATAGACTAGGGTTGGCTAAGCTAGTTGGGGTAGGCTAAGGTAGACTAGTGTAGGCTAGAATATGACAGACTAAGCTAGACTACGATAGGATGACAGGTTGGGGCAGACTAAGCTAGGCTAAGATAGGTTTTGATAGGCTACAGTATGCTAGGACWGGTTGTGCTAGGTTAATCTAAGATAGGATAGAATAGATAAGCTAGGCTAGGCTAAAGAAGAAAGTCTGTGTTCAAGCAAATTCAGAACCAGTCTATAAAACCAGTTAACTCCTACTGGATTTTTAATTTTTGTACAGTTAGCCAATGAAAAGAAAGCCCAGCTGTGTTGAACTTGCTTCGTAGCACAACCCCTCGTGTGTTTCAGTACTTACATCTGCAGTTACATTTCCGTTAATCGTATCATACACCAACTTGGCTGCCATCTCCTTGGCTTCTCTCTCCGTCTTCCCACAGACCTCTGGATATTCCTTGTCACCAACCTTAAACCTACACCAGCTAGTTTAATTTAAAACGTAATTATTTAATAAATATCTAACAAATACTCACTGTAGTCAAACTTGACTGATGGTGGAGACTTACTGAGTTTGATTATGGAGTCCAGGTCTGGTCGTCTCCGTCGGCTTTACCTCCACCATGTTCTTCTGACCGTATTCATTGAGCCAACATATGTAGTTCACACTTGAATTACCAACCGGGGTGGAAGCGTCTGCTGAGTTTTCCACCTGTTGAAACATTATTTGATGCACGTTTTCTTTCACATTTAAGTTAAATTAAAAAAGARAAATTATCTTACCAAGTTTTGACGTCCATTCAGACAATCCAAGGCATTCTGAGCTGCAGCTTTTTTGGCATCACTCTTCTTTTTTCCCTCCCCACAGGGATAGGGTTCACCATCCAAAATGACTCTCATGGAGAATCTGTGGAGGAGTTATTAACAGAAAATGTGTTTACTGCAGAGTTGTAAAGTAACTAAGTACAAATACTTCTTTACTGTACTTAAGTAGAATTTTTGGGTATCTCTGCTTTACTTGAGTAATTATTTTTCAGCCCACTTTTTACATTTTAACACAGTTATCTGTACTTTCTACTTATTACATTTTTTAAAAAGGTAAGAAGTAGAAAGTCATTACTCCTATTTCATTACAACTTGTATTTTAAAAAATGTTATCCTCCTGGATAGAGTGAATTTAATTGTGGTTGGATGAGAAGTATAAATATATGTTATGCTGATCCTGTATTAGTTTGTACACAATCCATCACAGCTGCAAATAACACAAATTATGTCAAACTCCAGCAGAACATAGCAGATATACTGTTTGTATCCTGGTACGAAAATAAATAAATAAATAAATAAATAAATAAATAAATGTATGTATGTATGTATGTATGTATGTATGTACTGTATGTATGTATGTATGTATGTAT